ATGGAGCTCCACAGCCTAGTTAAATCTACCATACACTCCCTTCCTGGTGAAATTTTACAAATCAGATGACTAGCAGGTGAAATTTATATGGATGCACTAATATTAGTAAGATTATGTCAATTTACTTCAGAGGAGGATCCAGTCCATGTGTGTTTAGAGTAATTTGATAATGAATCTCTGCAAATTTCTGTTGCTTTTAACAACTCTTAAATTCTATACCACTTTTCCATATTGATCTTCTATGCTGTGTTGTTTTGGTTTTTCAACAGGGAACCACTCCCTTCACCATATGGTCCAGCCACTATCGACAGCATTCTCTGCTTATTTCACCATCATGTAACACTCTCTTCTCCTGGGAACTAGATGACACGGTGTCATGTGAATGTTGCTTACAGCACAACATGAATTTCTGCTGATTTTTTTGGCACAGTACAGCAGGGGCTGACCAGGGCAGCCTCCTGCATAAAACATCTGCTCCACAGCCTTGTTTGCCTTCCAAAATCCTCCACAGCTGTAAAGACCAACCTGCACACAGTTGGCACAAAGAGACTCCCCTTGGGCTCCCAGGCAGAGGCAAATCCTCCAGTGGAGTCCCTGGTATTTCCAGCAAATATCTTGTAACTACTTTCCTGGATTTTTAGTATTCTGGGTGCCCCTGCTGAGCACACCCCAGGCCAGTCTGCAGTTATATATATAACTATATATATACATACATATATATATATCCATTTGGAAAATGTCCAAAAAAAGTGATTAAGAAAAGCAAATATATGTACAACACCCAGAAACCTAAAATTGTGGCAATTCTAGTAAGATCTTTAGTTACAGACAGAATTTTGCAGAGATTCACAAACCACTAAAAATCACATCCTTGGAGGAGATCATGGCCTACCTGTTCTCAGTCTAACTTCAGTTTACATTTACAGAGATCTGTTAAACATCTAGCACTCGTAATTTTAAACTATGAGCCTAAGTCTGCAGGATTTAATTGAGCAAAAGACCCATTGCCATTTTATATTAAGAGACTGAGAACTGGGTCCACGTTGGATTGTATGAATCTTCTTTCCCTTAGATGAAGTGTGCCCGAGAATAGCTATTTGCTGATTAGAAACCTGCCCACTTCCAACCACATTTTCAGAATACAGCTGAGTTTGGTGAATTCCTCTGAGGTGATTAAAAGAAAGATCTTATTTTTCTCTGTGTAGGAGTAATTATTTTGCCAGGCATTCAATAACGTCATCTTGACAAAAACCGTATTTGCAGTTTCATAAGCTTTCACTATTGCTGTAAGATTAAAGAAGTCAACACTACCTTATATTAAGATGTCCCTGCACTCAACATTTTCTTTTTTGCTGGTAGTGAGATGCATCCCCACAGGTAAAGGAATCTCCTCTGATGCCACAATGGGAGAGGGGAAAAAGGAGTTATAACCCCTCTCAAGATGACAGGGCTCAAGTGCCTCTAAGGCACCGAAACCATCTCAAACCTTCCTTGGAGCAAACACCCCTTGTGTTTCTCAGACAGCTGTCAAAAGCCTCAGCTCTGCCACTCTTGAGTGTTGTTTATTGTCAATGTAAAAGCCTGCTGCACTTTGAACCTTGGAAATAGGTACTGAATCTGACAATAACAACTGATACAGAAATTGGGAAATGTTGAACAGGTTATCCTGACGTGTGAAGACAATGAATGGGGATGAGCTCAATAATAAAGCACCATTAAACCCCTGCAGTATCCCAGCTCCTCCAAGTTGTATCAAATGGGATGCTGCTCCTGCCATCACATGGAAGTTGGTAAAGTAGAAAATACATGACTGTAAACAGCGTGGGTCTCAGCATGCTGACTCGCACTGAACTTCACACAACCCAATCAAAGGAGTCAGCTGCTGCCAGTGAAAGAGATTCAAGTGCCCTTCCCACATGTAGGCCAGGACTCCCATGAACTTCAAGTCAACATATTTCATATGTGATCAGGAAGGAAAGGGTGGAGGTCAATGTTTTCATATAAACTCAAATCAAGTCTCTGGTAGAGGGGTTGGCATGAGCTGGAGAACTTTGCTATGGCTTGAGTGAATTGTTCAGATAAGGCTTTTAAAATGCACAGCTCCATTGAGACCTCACCAAGAATTCCTGACTGGAAAAATCAAACTGCACTCTACCTCTGCAGCTGCTAAAAAGCAGCCAGTGAGAAAATATGTCTTTTCTCATCAATAAGGGTAATAATTCCCTTCCCCAAGCCAGTATGAGTAGCCCACAGTTGTTAACTAGTTCACGCAAAACAAATAAGGTTGTGTCTCTCTCTTTAGAAAATCTGATAGCACAGAGAATTGAGATTGACATTAAAGTTTCACAAAAATAGCATAAAAAAATGGTGGGAGAGAAAAAATGAGAATCCTTTACAGAGTGGGGTAAAGAGCACAGGGAGTCAGGTAATAGAGAAGACTGTTTTTTCCAACCATGAAGACACGTCTGATTTTGCATATTGAGTCTAGTAAGTTATGAGCAGAAGGAGCAGTAAGGGAATGAAGGACAGAAGAGCTGACTTCAGTTTTGGCAGAAAGCTAAATGAAAAAGGGCTGCAATGTGGGTTTAAGTGAAGAAATTACCCAGTGCAGGCTTGGAAATGAAAGGGAAAGAAAACGGATGAATGGAAAACACTTCTGTGGAAGAACCTGAATATAAAACTTCTAGCAACTGATGCCTTAGCTAATACTAGTGTCTGGAAAACAGGATTTTTTTTTTAGTGCTGTTTCTTATAGAACTTTCATAATACAAAAATCTGGTCTTTATTTTTCAAAACCCTAAGTATAGGAGGGCTTTCTGTCAGAGAACCTCTTTTGATTAATGAAGAGATGCAAATGTAAAATAAACCATTTGGTATGGTGGAAATATTTGTGAAGTATCTGAAGCACACTGTTAGGGCCCAATCTAGACCTGCTTATAGTTCAAACCCACAACAAAGGCGGTGGAAGCCCTGAACACCTTAAAACTTATGTAGTGATCGAGCATATGTAATGACTGAATGTCAGCCTTTGGTATATAGTTGAATGGGTATTTCCTGCAAATCCTGACTGTTCAGTCAGTCTCTGCTCGCTTTTCCTGACAGAGGGAGAAGTAGCATGAGATGATCGCGGGCCTCTTTGTGGAAATGGAATTGGGGGTCTTGGCAAATCAAGGTTCATTCATCTGGTTTACCCCCCTGACTCATGCATGGGTACCCAGATATTATTTGTACCAGTTCAGTTTCTTTAATTGCTTTCAGATCTAGGGTAAGTTTGTTTCACTAAAATTTATCTGTCCCCAGCAATTACTCTGTTTGGTGCAGAAGTCATTTCTGTTTTAAATTTTCAGGGAAAGAAAGAAAATATATATTAAGTCTCAGTTCCTTTGGTCAAAAAATTACCTTAAGTATACATTCAGTTTAAACTGCCTGAAAGGAAAAAAGAAACTTCTCCTTGATACAGATTAATGTTTCCCTTGTAGTCTAACAACTAGAAATTGAATGAATGTGTGTGCTATTTTAGATCCCAAATCAAATACCAAACCAAAACCAATTTTTGAGAGTCCTTTCATTATCTGAAAATAAAAGGCAGAAAAATAGCTGTCATAAACAAGTCATTATTTTAATTTTAATGCCACACTTCGTGGCCTGTCAGCAAATCCCCTAGCTCCATTCTGTCCTTTCACTCATCTGGCTTGAAAGAAAAAAAAAAAACACAAACCACCAAAAAAAAGAGTAGTATAAATCATGTTAAGGCAATTGTACATGTAAATGAACCCTCTGGAAACTAGATGCCTTCGCGCTGAAACAACCAGAGGCTCTCCTCGCAGCGCTACTCCGGCGAGACCTAGAGGGTGGAAATCACCGCTAGAACTCTTGAGGGATCGATCGCCTGCCGCCGCCACAGGAGCGTTCATGCGGGTTTTCAGCTCACCCCTCTGGGCTGTTTTGGTGGGGTTACACCGCAGCCCACTCCCGCAGCTCGTCCGTCTGAGCCCCAATGCTCCGAGAGGTCAGCGGGGCGCGGGGGGCCGCACCGCCGGGCGGGCGGGTCGGTCGGACGCCACGGCGGGAGCAAAGCCGGGCTCCGGAGGGGTCTGCGAGCCCGGTGCTCCGCACCTCCCGCACTCGGGGCGGCGGCGGAGCGGGTCGGGGGAAGGCGCGGGACCCTGGCGGGAGGCTGAGCCCCGAGCACAGCTGGTGAGGAGCGGTCCCGGGCACAGCCTCTCACCGCCCCGCCGCACAAGGGCCGGCCCGGGGGGATTACCGATTGCGACGTGAAGGGGCCCTCGGCAGGGCTCGGGGAGAGAGGAATTAACGTTTTAGCGTCGCTCGCTTCTGCTCCCGGCTGGATTGTCTCCCCGACAGGCATCAGCACAGCGACCGACCGCCGAAGCGGGATTTGGGAGGAAGGAGGGTGAAGACAAGCAGCCGGCAGGGCCCTGTGCTCCGGTGCCCGTTCCCGCCGGAATAGCACGTGCGGGTTTCTGCCGCCCCAGGCTCCGCAGCGGCCCCTGCTGTCGCGCCCGCAGCCCGCGGAACAGCCGCCCACCCCCCGTGGGGCTGCGGCCAGCGGCCCGGCACCGAGCGCCTCCACCGCTGCGGGCGGTTCGGGCGACTCTGGCCGGTCGTGTCTCTGTCCCGCCGCGTCCGTCGCGCCACCCCGCCGCCTCTCGGCAGCTCCGAGGGAACGGGTGGAAGCCGAGGACAGTAAATGCCCTCCGGTCGCACCTGCCCGCATAAGCCCGGTGTCAGCAGGGAGCTGTCGCTGCCGGAGAAGCACCGGAGCGAATAGTGGCGACCCCCACCTCCGCCTCCATCCGCACCGCCGGGGCCCCGCCCCTCACTCGCTAGCTCCGCCCCCCGGGGATGCCGCCCGGCGGGGCGGGGCGGGACGGGACGGCCGGGCACGCGCCCCGCCCGTCTCGGTGAGCGGGGCGGGGAAGAGGGGCGGGGCGCGCCCGCCCGCCTGCCGCGCTCCAGTCCGGGCTTTGTCTCCGCCTCCGCCGGCGAAGCAGCGTCCCTGGGGCAGGGCGGCGAGGCAGGGCAGCGGCGGGACACGGCGGGTTCTCGGTCCGATGCCCGGCAGCGCGAGGCGAGGAGCTACTGCGCCTTCCTGTCGCGGCACGGCGAGTGTCTCCGGCCTCGGAGTTTTCCTGAAGCAGCCGTCACACCGGGAGCACTTTTGGTAGAGAGGGAGCAGGAGGACACCCCGAAATGACTTATCTCCAGAAGAGCGACTGAACGGGACTTACTGGAGTGGAAACATAGTGGAATTTGGGTCTGGAGAGGAGTTGCTAACGCTTTTTCGGGGTTTTTTTTTGTGGTGGTTTTTTTTTTGTCTTCTTTTTTGTTCTCTCTGTGCCCTCCCCTCTTCTCGCCTATCATTGGAAATGAACAAATTGCATTTGCAATTCAGAAAGTAGAAATACTAAATATTCCATCCCCCGGGAATCACACATGTAGTAATGACAAAGGATTGCAAAGGAGAGAGTGGCTTCAGTTTCCCAGAGAGATCCCCTTAAACGGATTACTAAATGGGACACTACATCAGCTAGTTGTCCTGTAGCTGCCTAGATACATGCACCGAAAAGGTACAGTACTCCCCCGTCCGTATCTCTACCTGATGTTTGGGGGTTGCTTGTTAACGGGGGCTCCCGGGCCGCCCAGGCAGGATGGGGAGGAGCGAGGATGGTGTGCGATTTAAGGCTGGCTGCTGCGGTCTGTCTCGACGTTTGCAGCGCCTAGGGAGGAGAAGAGATGCGTGCAAGTGCACGCGCTGCGCTTGCTGTTGCCACTTTCCAGGCAAACCCTGGCTTCGCCTTTCTTTCCTGTTTTGTCCTCTTTTTTCTACCCCCACCCCCTGCCCCCCAACTGGTTAACGCGCTAGCCGTGCTCCCCAGCCCCCTGGCATGGGCTTGCATGCGTGGTGCTCGGCCTTCCCGCCGCCACCCCAGCTCCCAGCCCTGCCCGCAGTGAGCCGGGGGTCGCGCAGCGGCGAGCTGGGCTGCCGCGGGACGCCGCCTGCGGGGCTGGAGCCGGGGCCGCGGCCGCCGCCCGCTCCCCCCGGGGCAGTAGGGCATCGAGTGGGGCTAGGTCGGGGGGGGGGGGTGTCTTTGTTAGAGGGACAATGTGGGCTCTCCGTGCAGAGGCGTAACCCCGCGGTCTCAGCTTCTCCGTGCGGGATGCTTGGGCTGTGGTTCATTTATTTCTTTCTTTTTATATATGTATATATATATATATGTATATTATTTTTTTCCCCAAGGCTGGGGTTGTGTTTTGGGGGAAGTGGCCGGGAACCGAGGAAACTTCTTCCGTGGCGCAGACCCCGGCGCTGCCGCGGGCTTTGTTCGCGATCGTGGGCTGGGGCCGCGGGCTCCCTTCCGCGCCCTCTTCCCGCGGACAAGCGGCCGCTTTTCCTTTCCCTCCGCCCCGGTCCCGGCCGAGGAGGGCTGCCGCCTGCCGTCTCTCAGCCCCGGGAGAAGGGTGGCTGTGGGGCAGGGTTGCTCTCCACCCCTCTCTACCGGGCGCCGCCAGCCTCTCCCCGGCGGGCCGGTGGCTCTGCCAGCCGCTTCTCCCTGGCTGGTGAGCGCAGCCGGGCGGGCGCCTACAATGGGGAAGACCGGACCCTTCAGGGAGGCCCGGCGGGCGGGGCCGCCGTGGGGCAGCCCAGCTCCTTTTCCCTTTGCCCGCGCCCTCGCACCACGGCTCCTTCAGCCCCTCTCGTCCCTGGGGAATCCGGGCGAAAGGACGGAAGAAAGAAAGTTTTTCTAAGGGGGAATAACAGAGGCACCCGAAACAAAGGAGCTCCTGTTCGGCCAGCCCTCCCAGAGGGGCTGCGGGCTGGCAGCGCGGCGCCCCGCATACGTCCCGCCCAGCCGGGGAGCCCCGGGACTGGCTGACGGGACGTGGGGGGCCCGGGAGCGGGGCGCGTTTGGTCAGCTGATGCCGAGGAGGGGACAGAATGGTGTCGGGGTAAAGGATGCTGAGGAGGTCAATAGGTTTGTACGCCCCGTCCCCGTGTAGGCACGGGCAGAGAAGGAAGGCTCCCAGCTGAGAGCAAAACGCGTTGAGTGCCGTGGCTGCGGCTCCACTTGAGCGGCATCCCGCAGCACTCCCTGGGCTGTGCTCCCGCCGGCAGTACGCGGGGAACGCGGAGCTGGGAGGTTGGGGCTCTGAAGAGATCTGGGGCATCGGGTCTCGGGCAGCCCCTAGGGCTGGTGAGGGTCAAAGCTCCTCGCTGACGGGGAGGGCGGCAAAAACTTTGGGTTTCCTGCATCACGCGTGCAGAAAGTACCTGCTTCTTGAGAAGGCTCGGCTGTCCCATCGCCCCTTCCTTCCACCCTTCCCACCCGAGGGAGGCGTTTCTCGGGGGTGGCTCCGGCCGCCGTGGGGGCGGGGGCTGCATCCCGGACAGTTGCAGCGGAGATGCCCTTTTGCCCACCGTCTCCGTCCTGCCCGGCTCTTCCCAGGGTGAGTAGCAAGGCGGTAACTGCTGCGGTTTCTTTAGGCAAATGGCTCTGGCTTTTTCTAACCTTGACCACTTGTTCAGGGGAAAATTCGTTCTCCTTTTCCGCTCCTGAACTAATTGCTGCTTTTGAAGTTTGTAAACATGCGCGCTTGTGCCCGCGCCTGTTCAGCGCGCATCTTTGGTTACTGTAGGCTGAAAATCATTTCGCTAATGGAAGGGCAAGAAGTAAAAGCTTTAGTCGGTTCTGTGATAAACTAAAATATGCTAATTCCTGACTGTAAGGTGAATGCTTGATCTTCCAGAGGAGCATATGCGGCTTGCAGGTGTTGTAAATAACGAAGAGCTGTATGTCCACAACCATTTTCAGTTATGAGGCTCTATGCAGTGTCTTAATATTTGACACAGATTCTGCTAATTTTTATTTAGTCCCGAGCAGTATTAATCATTAAACTAACTCAAACATAGCAGCTAGAGGCATGATTTTCCCACTGTCTTTGCAAAAATTAGTTCAATGACTGCTTTTGGTTTGCATTCATTTAATCTGTCATCCAATAAACTATTCTCATCCAAGTAATCTTTGCTTGGCGGGTAGATCCTTTGCCATCAACATGAGAAAGTCCAGCAGAGTCAGGCTCTTTTAATCACAGAACTCGAGGAGATTTTGAGGAGTCTGTGGCATTTCTCTTAGAGTAAGATTTATGCAGCTGTTATCATGTTCAGGGCTTCCTTTGCTGTTTGTTTTCAGACTAGAAAAGCAAAATGAGCTTGTTCTGATTTTTGTTTGGTTTTTTGGTTGGGTTTTTTTTTTCAGTTTTTGTTTTAAGTGAGACCAATCTAGTGTATTGTGAAGAAATTTGGGTCTGCTCCAGCAAACCCTTTCCTTCATGGAATTGCCTCATACATGATTGAAAGCAAATACTAGTAGCTTCAGTAAAATCAGGAACGTTTGTCACTCTTTAAAAAAAGTACAGTTGCCAAGGCATTTCAGTTTCTAGGGTATAATTTTATCTAAAAAGAACCTGGTTTTAATATGGTAGCTTCTCTTAAAGAATAAGGCAAAGAGAGCTAACTCTCTCTAAAGCCAAACAATTTCCTATGCATAAAAAGGTTGATCTCTGTTCTCCACCATTCTTTACTGGAGAAAATCTCTGGCATTCATGGAAGTTTAGTACAGAATGCCCAGATGAGTCTTCTGTCTGAATGCTAAACGGATTTTAAAATGGTAATACTGTAGAGTGTATGTGCAACATTTACTTTTCATGTATTTTTGAAGCATGGGTGAATACTTTAAGGAAAGATAAATCTCATGGTCACAGATGTTCTATGTATTCCCAATTAGTCTACATTAAAACCACATATTCTTACTTAATGGCAAAACCAACCTTATCAGCTGAACTTACACTACTTGAACCAAAAATAATTGGGCATTAACATCTGGGAGAAACATGACAAGCTAAAGTCTCTAGCTGCTTGAAGTTGAAAGCAAATATTAGCCAGAGCCTCCTCTTAATGTTTGTAAATAGAGGATCAAAGTTATTTGCATTTAAGACTGAAGAAGGATATAGATCGGGCTAAGGATAAGGATTTGTCTTCATTGAATTTTCAAAAAGAAAAAAAAAGGGGGGGGGGGGAAGAAAAGACAGAGATCAAATTAATGACCTGTGATAAATCAGATTAGAAACTGTTTGCATTAAAAAGGAAGTAGGTGATTGTGAACTTGCTTGTGCATGTTTTGTGAAGGGAAGGGGAAATTTGTCATCTTGTTTTGAAGAGCCATACATAAATACACATGAAAGGAGTTCACATGGTTTACAGCAGGGGAGACATAAAATGTTTTAGGATTAAATTGACCTGGGCTAATACATGCTTTACATTCAACTTGTTTGCGAGAATATGTTGTTATACTACCCAAACAACTGTTCTGTGTGTAGTACCTGATTCCCATGCACTATAGCAGAGTGCTGGAAACAAACTACTGGGTAAATTATGGAAAATAACATTCAACTCTGTTAGATGCAGCATATGCTAGAGAAAAGTTGAACTGTACTAAATGAGAAGTACCCCATTTGATACAGATGCTGCAGTATTTTACCTCCTACTGTTCATTTATTGAGGAGGTAAATTTTTAGCCCTTATCTTTCCCAGTCTCATTCTCCCAAGTAAGCTTTGCTTATGCAGTTGAAGCCTTGCTTGCTTAATTTTCTGAGATTAAAGGCTTCAATATTACTCAAAATGGGACTTTTTTTTTTCTCTGATGTTTAGGCCTCAGTCTGAAAATACTGCTCTCTGTTGGGAGTCTTTGTGAGGACCTGAAGCTATTGTGCAAGTATATTTGCTCTAGATCAGTCTTGAATGCTAAGGTCAGACCTAGGTCTGCGTGTCACATCTGACAAATTGTGACAAGCTTTGTCTTGATGGGGCAACAGTAAACTAAGAGGCATAATCAGTGTTTTTTACTGTGACCATTTGAGCACTTTATGCACATTAATTCTGTGTATCAGGAGGGGGTGAGATATATACAGCGATAATTCTGGTAATAGGGTGCAGTCAATAATAGCATGGAGTCTGGCTGCTGATCAGCAGCATACAGCAACCATGAACAGTGTTCAAAGGCAGAAACAAACAGCTGGGGGAAAGCCCGTGCCTGAGCCTGACACCTCTTCATAGGAATATTTTCATAGATATGATAGGGTCTGTGGAGGCAGAGTGGACTTACCCAGTTCAAGTGTAAGCCTGGCAGACTGGAGTTTGCATGTGTTTATTTTCTTTATGTACTGTCTTGTGAGACAGTTAAACCATTACGTATGGTCATGGAAATAACAGAATGTTCACGTTTATACAGTGTTAAGAGATCTTTTAATTGTCCATGGTGAACAGTGCTTTGGCTGTGGGTCTTGATTGCAGCACGGCAATATGGCAGCACAGCTGAAGGGCACTGCTCTAAGATTTAAAGGAAAGAGTGCCACCTACTGTGATATAATTACATACATTACGTGTCCTGTGTGTCTTAGATAGTTCCCAAGCTGCTCGTTTTGCCTATCCTGTTTTAGCAGCTGGAAGATGTGAAAGGATTCAAAATTAAATGTGGTATGGGAACTGAGGGAGAAAACCAGAAGATGTAGG